CATCTTAATGAACTTTCCATTTTCACTCGTAAAATGAAATATCCAAACATGAAACATCTACCAACATACCAAGTATATTTGGATTGTTTTGGTTAGGTTGGTTTTGAAATAACTGTCAGTATGAGAACCTACAAAATAACAGACACAACCTGAGGGTGACCTTTGCCATCATAACACATTATTGGTTTCCATGGTGCCTATTTTATGTCCCTTAAGACATGATCACATGAATATAAGTATCACAATCACTCTAGAGGGAAGAGCAAACTTACTGGCATACATTGTTGTAGAAAACACCGAAAAGCCTCAGTTAATCATCCACCTTAGCACTATGCCTCTCCTTGATTGTGGGTCTACTTCAGGTACTCTTAAAATGGAATAGGTTCCCCCATTGGGCACTCGATATACACATGACCATAGGTCGTAGCCACAACACATGTAACAACATTCATCTAAACAACACATCACTTCTTTAAATTACGTTAGAAAAATATTTAAGTTTTCCTCAAATCAGAACCAAAATTTGTAATATTGGACCCAAAAAGTCAAACTTAAACACCATTTTGTGATGGTGGAAAATTACATTGTCTGCAGCAAAAAAACCCCAAACCAGATCCAGATATAATATTGCATACAAGAGCTAAATTTGAAATCTCTAAATTACAAAGATATTAATATACTCCATCCGTCCCATAGAATTCTCGAGAGTTTGACTTCAAAGAATTTAAGAAAGTTGTTGAAAAAGAAAAAAGTGTGTGGTTTGAATTTGTTCCGAGGAGAGGGAATTGTGGGTAGGTACATATTCATTATAACTATAGAAAATAAAGTAACTAATAATTTTTTTTGAAAGGTCCGAAAATTAAAATATTCTATAAAATAAAGTATGATAACATCCAACCAACTAACCAAGCCTTAATTCTGAATCCATGGAGTTGCCATCTTGAGCCAAATGAAAATCTTGTACAAAGTTCTATTTTTACTTTCTTTTATGTCATTATATCTAAGATTAACCAAAAATATAGATACAAATTTAGATGTCGAGAACTTTAACAAGGACTAGAAAGAAAAGTGCTTGGATAAAAAATGACCCATTAATTTGGAGGCTGATTTGTTAACTAACATTGTTTAGGGCCAAAAGGTGCGGTTAAAGGTGAGGAACAACAGACCGTTTGTGGAAATATCAGTATATCACTAAACCTGCACTCAGCTATCATGATTTAATATATCCTTATAAAGAAAACTCACTTAAACATAATATGAATGCGAACACGAATGCATCAGACCTTTGATCTTGGTGTCGGCTTCAGAAAGAAGGGTGAAGTTATTCTCCATGGCCAACTAAGTTCAAAGCAATTAAGTGACCTATAAAAGAAGAAATACAACTAAAGATAAGATGACTACGAGTTATTTACTGTATCCATGACAAGGAGAATTCAAGACTTATACAACCTCAAAAAAGACCTTACCAAAAGTACTCGTTGAAATCATCATAATTTCTCCAAGCTGAATGAGGTGCCCGCCCATTATCATTGTGTCTAGCTTCCTGCATAGATGAAGTTGGTTAGCCAGCTTTGAGCTATCTTCCATCCCTCCCCCTCGGAACAAAATGTCTTTGTATGCAACAAGCTCTCTTAGTTTCCATATCACTAGCTCTCATAGTTTTATGTATATTTATAAATATACACAAGCATGCACACATACATATACACATATTGTCATGATAATGCAATAATGAGAATTGAAACTACGNTTCCCCGTAAAAACGCCTTTATTCCTGTCCAGAATCACTGCCAAACAATCGATTATCACTCCCCACAATCGATTATCAGTTCCATTAGAAACATCTGCAGGTAGTAATAATCGATTATCCATTTAAGATAATCGACTATCACTCATTCCCAGAAAATCTGCAGCCTTCCATAATCGATTATCACTTCTTGTAAATCGATTGTTTATTTCTCATAAACTTCTGAAGCTCCTCCTGAGAAACTGAATCACTTGACAATCGATTATCCTACTTGGACAATCGATTATCATACATCAAGGGAAACTCCTGCAGTCCTATATAATCGATTATCACCATACTGATAATCGACTATTAACCCATCCAGCAAAAGAAGGAGCTTGTTCCTTAAATCCGAGCTTAATACCGTTACACTCGGAGCTGAGATATAACACATAGCTCCTCTTGCGAAAGTCTGGGCTCTTTACCCTCAATAGCAGTATCTTTAGCAAGAAATATCTGTGCAAGAGGAAAAAGACATACATACCAGGAAGAGAAATAACAATATGTGCATATTTAACTAGCATAGAAACAAAACAAGTATTATAATTTCTGATAGCAACCTTGCTTGCTAGAAGGAACAGAGGTCATTGAACCAAGGGAATATTGTCTATTATCCCTGAATTTTTAGGCATTAAAGGCAACTCCATTTCCCTGTATATTAAAGACGATGAATGTGTGTCTAGTGAGCTTTAGTGAGCAGTCAATGAATAAGATCTGATAACAGAAAATGCCATGGCCACACGTAAAACTCACAAACTATTAATGTAGTCTTCTTCCCTCAAATTCCTTATAATCTCATTCCAAAAAGGAGTAAACTTAGCAGCATCAACTTTGTTCCTCTCTAGTTCCTATCAATTGAACAGTATCATTTAATAATCAATTTAATCAAAATCAAATATAAGAAAGCAACTACTCCCACTGAATGCAATGATATAGCATCCTTGCTATTTTCACATGTCTAACGAAACAATTGTACATCTTAATATCAAAATGTTTTTTATTTATCTAAAACAGGTTGATAGGATGGGGATGGCGCCCAAATGGCATTGCCAAAACAGCAAGCAAAATGCAAAATATCTGCACCAAATAATTATGTTGTGTTAAATCCAGGATGCCAATAGTTACTACTTTACTTATCCAAACAGTTATACACCAATAGACAAAATTGCAGTACATAAGCTTACGAATTCACAGTGCGCATTATGATGGCTGATACAAAATCAGAAAATCTTAATCGAGTTCAAAAAAGAATGCAATGTTTCCTCGGAAGACAAGGAGATTGTATTATTTTGATTTGCAAAAGTATAGACGGATGGTTAACATACGGAACTTATTCCAATGAGATCAGAATCATTCAGATCAGGTGAAGAGAACAAGTCCATAGTCAGCTTCAATGTCGTTGATCCTCTCATGAAACACTATATTCAATGTATTGTACAGTTCTGTTAAGTTATTGCATATCATTGTCATCGGTGGGATGTGGGAGCGTGTAGTATTGTAAACCCTAAAGTAATGTTTTGGGCATATCAATTCATATGTGGCTAAAGCCTAGCATTCAGCTTCCTCATTTGATCACATCAAGTTTTATACATTTTCACTAGCAAAAAAAAAATATTCAAAGGTGAAACGTCTCTCAACTAGAGAAATTGCATGGCCAACGTCAAAAAATCGACCCAAGGGTGACCTTTAACTACAGAATACACTATTTATTGGAATGATGCCATCTTAATGAACTTTCCATTTTCACTCGTAAAATGAAATATCCAAACATGAAACATCTACGAACATACCAAGTATATTTGGATTGTTTTGGTTAGGTTGGTTTTGAAATAACTGTCAGTATGAGAACCTACAAAATAACAGACACAACCTAAGGGTGACCTTTGCCATCATAACACATTATTGGTTTCCATGGTGCCTGTTTTATGTCCCTTAAGACATGATCACATGAATATAAGTATCACAATCACACTACAGGGAAGAGCAAACTTACTGGCATACATTGTTGTAGAAAACACTGAAAAGCCTCAGTTAATCATCCACCTTAGCACTATGCCTCTCCTTGATTGTGGGTCTACTTCAGGTACTCTTAAAATGGAATAGGTTCCCCCATTGGGCACTCGATATACACATGACCATAGGTCGTAGCCACAACACATGTAGCAACATTCATCTAAACAACACATCACTTCTTTAAATTACGTTAGAAAAATATTTAAGTTT